AGTAATTTAAACTAAACTCTATATTTTTTTTAAAACCATTGATGCTATGTTAAACTCTCCTTTATCCACTTGTATTGAAGCTTCAACTGAGGTGTGTGAAACATTTCTCCGCTATTTTATAGACAAGATCTCCACTATTAGAGCCTGTATCTCACCACCCCGGTTCTGTGCCAGTTTATTTTAAACAAGCGGTTGTGGCGCCCCTGAAAAAACCTAATCTGGACACTTCTGTCTTCTCTAATTACAGACCTATCTCGAAGCTTCCTTTTATTTAAAAAATCTTGGAGAAAACCGTACTCTTAAAGCTGCAGTCTTTTATACATGCACACAATATTTTTGATATTTTTCAGTCTGGTTTTAAAGCGCTTCACAGTACTGAGTCTGCCCTTCTAAGAGTATTCAATGACCTCCTGGTCACTACAGACTCTGGTGACTCTGCAATTCTTAAGCTCTTAGGCCTCAAAGCTGCCTTCGATACGATTGACCACTCCATTCTCATCTCTCGTCTAGACTAGAGCACTGTGTAGGCATCAGGGGCACTGCCTTAGAGTGGTTCAGTTCCTATTTGTCCCAGAGATCCTTCTCTGTTAGGCCTGGTTACTTTGCATCGTCTTCTGTCCCCTTATCCTGTGGAGTTCCCCAAGGTTCTATTTTGGGGCCCATTTTCTTTTCTTTATACCTTCTCCCCCTTGGACAAATTTTAAGAAAACATGGCGTCTCCTACCACCTTTATGCGGACGACTCCCAAATATATCTACCCTTAAAAACAAACACCAGCTCTCTGATGCCCCTGGTTGACTGTCTTAACGACATAAAGGCCTGGATGGCGCTTAACTTTTTAAATATAAATGAGAGCAAAACAGAGGTCATTGTGTTTGGACCAAATCGTGATGTCCCTTCAATTGACCTGGGTTCCCTGCAACCGTATGCAAAACCCATGGTCACACATTTTGGCGTCAAAATCGACAGTGCTTTTAAATTAGATAAACAGATAAACTCTGTGGTTGAGTTTTATCACTTGAGGCTCCTGTCCAAAATTAAATTAAACGGTTTTATCCTTTTTAGACTTTGAGGGTGTAATTCGAGCCTTTGTTTCGACTCGTTTAGATTACTGTAATGCACTTTATGCCGGCCTAAATCAGACCTCGCTGGCACGCCTGCAGCTTGTACAAAACGCTGCTGCTCGGCTGCTTACAGGAACCCGCAAGCATGAGCACATTATACCAATTCTGGCTTCCCTCCACTGGCTTCCTGTCCATTTTAGAGCTCATTTTAAGATTCTATTGTTTGTTTTAAAATCGCTTAATGGGCTGGCCCCTCAGTACATCTCCGACCTCCTACAAGTTTACACCCCCTCAAGGGCTTTGAGGTCGGCTGATCAGCTGCTGCTGGTAGTCCCTAAAACAAAGAAAAAGACTAGGGGAGACCGAGCCTTCTCAGCGGTAGTCCCCAGGCTCTGGAACGACCTGCCCCCCCAAGTCAAATTGTCGCCCACTCTTCAAACTTTTAAGTCCCGCCTAAAGACCCACTTATTTTCCCTCGCTTTCGAGTCAGTCTGAGCTATGCTCTATACCTATATTTATGCTTTTATTGTCTGTCCATAGCCTTTATGTGTGCCTTATATCTATTCTTATGTGTGCCTTTTATCTATTCTTGTAATATTGTATTTTGCTATGATATTATGTTCGTTGTAAAGCACTTTGGCAAACCCTCTGTTTTTAAAATGTGCTATAGAAATAAAGTGGATTGGATTGGATTGAATCTGCCGCCATTATAACACCTTTGTGCCCGTATTTGGCAAAAACATCAGAATCAAGTTTTCAGAATCATATCATTTACCAAATAATTTCCTTTGGTGTAAAATAGTGCATATATAAACGCAATGAGAGGAATCGGTTGGTTGTTCGAAAAAAGAAAATGTAGGATTATTTTTTATTTGATCCAAAATTCCTACTTTTTTTTAAATGTCACATTGACATACTGTAGGTATTTCTACCCTTTGCTATGAAGCTTATATTTAGCTCAGGTGCCACCCATCTATCTTTGACCCTCACATGTCTTTTTAAGGTCACATAAAAGCTTCTCACTTTCTAAGGTATTGCTCTCTTTACTTTATTGCTCCAACAGCTAGCAGAAAGTGTGGAAGCCGGACCTCCAGCTCTCGAAGAATCAGAAAGACAAGCTGCAGAAAATCCCGTTCAAGCCACAGACTGATTTCAAGTTTTATAGAATTATTAATTTGATTTTTTGGTATTCAAGAAAGTGTCCCGGCTTGCCTGATTTAGGACATTAGATCATTTTCACAGATTATTGATTTTCCCCAAAACCCTTTTTTCTACAATTCCTGATTTCTAAATAAATATACTGACTTAAGAAAACAATGACATTGTTGCCATTGTAGAGATCTCAAAATCTCAAAATATTATGTGACAAGAAATGTTGTGATTTAAATATTTTGTTATTATTACCATGTGTGTAGAATGGGTTAATATTCTGCCAAATGCAATTTATCTAAATATAAATAAAACCAAATATAAATGTATAAGGATTCTTTATTTTGCTTGTTATTCAATTTATTTCCTGCTCCCTAATTTGATTGATTACAACTTTTCTGTCGATAAATTGATAACATTCAATGTTAAGTCTTTTTAATATCAGCGAATATACAAATAACCTCAACATATATATTTTTGTATATGATATAAAACACAAAAAGCAGGGAATCTCCTTATTTGAGAGGCGGAAATTTGCATTTGCTGCCAAACTTGCATGAACTTGACTTGAACTTGTTGATAAACAAATCGTCAAGTTGCCAACAATCATTGTTGAACTTTATATTATTGGTTATGAAAAATAGAATGTATTTTAAACTACTGTAAACTTGCTTGAGCTGTCGTAGTGTTATCACCAGCT